TGTGAATTGTGTATATGTAAGGAAAAGATGTTTAATGAAGGCGCAGAGAAATCAGTTAAAATATCCTACCTCCTGCTAAATACTGAGCATATTCAAGATTGCCCTGTAGCCTTTGGACATGAGCCTGATTCCTCAGCCACTCTAACCCCGCCTTTTCTATATACATTTCAGCTCCTCTACCTCTAAGCATTTCCCTGAAAAAATAAGGTCGCTTTCTAAAGCTAGACTGAAAATATAGAGTTTTGATGTTTCATCTGTACTGCCCGAGCCACACACCTGTCTGGTAGAAGTGTTTAGTAGGGGTAGACAAGAGGCTTTCTTGGTTCTGCTCTCTGTACCACACATATACAGAGTTTTACTGTGTTACCCAGACTGGCCTCAAGCTCTCCATCCTCCTGACTCACCCTCCATTTTTGCTGTTTGCTTGTGATGTTCCCAAGGACAGAACCCCAGGCCTTGCTTTGTAGCTCAGGCTGGCCTTGAACTCTTACTGTTTCTTCCTTGACCTCTTGAGTGCTGCTACTTCCAGCATGTGCCACCACACCCACTTTTTGTATTTGTTCTTAAAGATGTCCGCAGGTCCTTTGAGTGATTTGAAACATCACTGCTCTTTCACTGCTCTTCCTAGTTCATTTTGTAGGGACTGGGATGTTAACTCCATCTCCTGACAATAAACCTACTATAAATGGGAATACATGACAGGGTTTTGGGGAGATTTGTTTTGCTTTTGATTACTCCAAAGAGATATGTAATTTTTTTAAATGCCAGTTACTGTGGAAATAGTACAAATTTGGATTTTGTACATGACAGAAAAGTTCAACAGTAAAATACCACCTAATCAGAACTGATTTCTCCTTGAGGTAGTAGTTTCCAATGCCAAGTTGGCTTACCTACATCTTAAACATTTGTTACTGCTAAGGAGTAAATGTTGGCTCTAACAGCTATCCTGGAATGCTTCCCACTTTTTCATTCAAATTCTCTGTCTGGGTTATAATGTCTAAAAACAGGAGTTTTCTGGTTAGAAGTGAAAATGAACAAACTATTTTCAGGTCTTTAGGGTTGCCACTTTTTTCTTGGTACTGGTTCCTTTGACATTAGGTAGGGTATATAGTGTGAAATTCCAGTAGGGAGAGAAGCGTTCCTTGTAAGTGACTGTGAGTAGTTTGTTAATAAATCCAGTATGAGTTCTCCAGGGAGAAAGATGGGTAAAGCACATTGAATCTGCTCACCACAACTGTTTCATTGCTAAACCATAGTCAGTATCAGTCTTTTAGCCATGCTAGCATTTCAGACTCAGGAATTGTGTTGTGCTTACCAAACTTTATTCCTCTGGTTTATTGTTGGTGCACAGAGTCTTGTCCTATGCCTTCCCCCTGATGTCTTGCTATCAGCTGTACTTTAAAACACATGCTTAATTAAGTCCTACTTAATAATACTGTGTTGTCATTGTTATTGCCTTTTTGGTCAAACCGATTTATTTGGAAAAGAAAAAAGGAGTAAAGAAGTGCCCAGGTAATTTTCTAAGTTATATTAAATTCATGACTCTAGAAGGAAACAGATTCTTACCTTCTTCCTCTGGCTTGGATGAGCATTGCCTTTATGACGTCTATTTAAAAATCATTTGAAACCTCTTCCAGACATTCAAATTTGACTAGTCTGCTGTGCAACCTGGGCTTTTAGATCCCTAGGAATGAAGTGGGAGTGCGGTATGGCTTTGCTGGAGAGTTCCTACTTAGCATGCACAAGCCCCTGGGTTCACTTTCCTTGAACAATGGAAACCTGCCTGGATGGTTTTGATGTACAGCCAGGATGTGAAAGGACTTTGTGAGTAGTCATCCTTGGTCTTGGGCAGGATATCCTCAAACTAGTATTCTCTCTTTCCCCAACTCCCAAGTGAAATGCAGATGGGTTTTTGTTTGTTTGTTTGTTTGTTTGTTGTTTAAAAAGAAAGAAAGAACTCCCTGGAGTGGAAGGAACTCCAGGAGAGAAATTCCTGAAGCTAGTTTTCTTGATCTAGGTACCTTTGCTGTTATCCCAGGCATGTCTTAAAGCTGGCAGTGGGGTCAGACTCATCTGTTTCTTCTCACACTAGGTCTGGAAGGAAATATTAGACTCGATCCACTATCTTTTGTGCCAAATACAAAGTGTGAGTAAGTGAGAAAGCAGTTTTCAAGGCCTGTTCTCTAGATTCATTTTCCTCTGCATATGTGATTTGAGTACAGATTGCTCAGTTCTGACAGCTAAACTAGAGCAGCAATTAAGTATATTACAGAAATGCAAAACCAAGCTGTCTGTGGCTACTTTTCTTTGTAAATCAAATAAGCAGTGTTACATGCTTAATGGAGAAAAGAAAAATCCTGTCTTGGGTGATCATAATATTTCTGATTACTTGTCTCTTAGCATGGTAGGATTTTATGGCAATCAACTCTTCCTTTTCCTTAGCTGTTTCTTTCTGAATGAAATGAACTAGCTAAGGCTTAAATATTTCTGACTAGTATGTGAAATTTTAACATCTTTGTTTTACGATGTTAAAAGACCTAACCTAGTAATTCCCAAATGGTAGTCCATAGCTTCCATTCTTACCCTAAGAAGAGATGTGTAATGGCATGACAGTTTATTACCTGCCTGTGGCAACCTTACACATAGTAATAGAGCAGGAAGAGTTGTTCTGTCTGTCAGTCATAAAAAATGAAAACCACTTTTCAGTGTAGCTACTAAGCAGCTTTTAGCTGCTGAAAGAAATGTGTACTGCAAGAGCAAGTTCAGTGTAGCAGACTCTGAGTCGCCTAGACACATAGGTGATTGATAATTTGGACTCCAGAAATAGGTAGTGGAAGAAAAGGTAGGCTAAGGAAAAAGTTGGTTAGAGCAGAGGACGAATCAGAATACAAACACTTGTTCTGAGTAGTATTAAGGTCTTAGTGTTGATTGCCTGTAAACGCATCAGAGACCCAACTGCTTCCCTAGCCTTAGGGAACTTGCTGAACACTTGCTGGTTGTGAGTAGGATGGAAAAGCAGTTACTGTGAAAAACCCCTAGGGCTTTCATGCTGTAGAATGTTGTGGAGTACTGGGAAATTTGTTGAACTTTATGCAAATTATACCACACTGGACTTAAATATTTGAAGAGACAAAAGAGGAAGGTGGGGAAGTGGTAGTAAAAGACAAATGATTTAACTTTTGATATTTTGAGCAAGGGGTAAAAGGATTTCTGTTGTAACTGTAAAGTCAGATCATCTTCTGCCCTAATGCATTCATTGTCCTATTCATTCTGCCTCCCTTGTCCCCACTTTTTTCTTTCTTTTCTTACTGGGTATTGAATCCAAGAATCTGGAACACGCTGGGCAAGCATTCTGCCACTGAACTATATAACTGCAGATTCTAATTCTTTCTGAAACAGCTAAGCAACTGCCAGTCTGGTCACAGTGTGACCTTGCTCCATCTCCTGGCCCTCAGTAAAAGCAAAAGTCATTACCGAACCATAGGCCAAGGAAGTGTACTCTCAGAGTCTTAGCTCTTCACCTGCTGTGGTTCTCTTCAGAGTTTGGCTGTTGCATTGTTTTGTGTCCTAATGGATTTATTACTCAGGGCCCAAGGGCTTTCTTCCCTTTAAGACACCTTAAGAACGCACTCTGGACTTGTGCTCTAGCACTCTACCTAAGGAGGGAAAGCACATTGGCCAAGCACTTGGATTTCCTGGTTTGTCTTTTAGGATGGAGCCCCCTCAGGCACTGCCTCTGAGTCTGAGGGTTGAAAGAGGAAAGGTAATGCAGCAGAGATCTGATTCCTTCAGATGGACCTGTTCTGAAAGAGCTCTACCCTTCTCTATGGTGCTTATTTAATGGGTGACAGCTATCTCCCAACTGTCCCTGGCACTGTGCCTTCCCACTGGTCACTGTGAAAAGTAGATCACACTGGACTCAGAGGCCAGAATCCAGGACGAGATCCCTCTTCTTGATCCCATTACTTCTTCATGCAGCTTCAAATGTAGCATTAACTTCTCTTTGAGAACAGTAAAACATTTACAAGAAAATAGAAAAGTAATTTTGGGTTATAGCTGTCACATTAAGAAATCACAAAGATTTGCTGCTGAGTGACAGCAAGGATCAAACTGCAGTCTCCTGTTTCTGAAGCTGACACAGTAGCATTTGTAAACAGCAGACTCACTTAGACAGTTCCCACAACTGTTCTTCAAGGAGAATTCATATTGAAACAGACAATCACTTTCTAAAACATTAGTCCTGGATGGGAATGGGATAGATTATTTTTAACTATAAGATTTTACCAGTCTGCTTTCTCCCTATGAAAAGAGTCTTAACATTTGAGATTTGTATCTTTCATCTGCAACAATTACTCCATTAATAGTAAAGATGCCTCAGAAAAGTGTGCCCGGGAAGTGCTCCCACTACTGAGAACGCTGGGCTGGATGTGTGCATCTTATCTCCTATGACTTTGGTTTTTGTTGTGACCTTGATTATAAATATCTATATATAGCAGTAGAATTTTCTCTCCCCAGCCTCTTTTAATCATCATTTAAGTGTAAACCCTTCCCCTATACTGAAAAAAAAACAAAAACAAAAACAAAACAAAAAGTATGCACTTTAATTCCTAAGGAGTGTGGCTGTTCCTGGCCCTGAAGCCAGAACTCAGGAGGAGAGCTGAAGAGGGGAAACTCTTGCCAGACCCTGTAAGATTTGACCAAATTTCTTTACCCCTACCCCATAGTACTGGGGATTGAGCCCAGGGCCTTACACATGCTAGGCAACTGCTACCCCAGCCACAAAAAATCTTAATGTGAACACAAATTACCATCTGCTTTTAAGCTGCCAGTGAGTACTCCCTGCCAAAGGGGGAAAGAACCAGTTTTTTAAAAAGAGTTCAAAATACCTACCCTGATTTTAGAATTTTTCCTGAGGGAAAAAAATTTTTTTATTAATTTTTTTAGCTACCAAATTATAATAATAATTAAAATAAAAAAACCTTGATTGTTTTATGATAAGCTTTTCTTTTTTATTAAAGATCAAGTGAAAAATACAACAATGCTAAAATATTACTCAGAATTATGTCACATCTAAGTACTGGGTTCATTTCCCCTAAATTTGACAGGTGTCCTCTGACTCTCCTCCTGTAGATTCTGACTTTCCCCTGGTGACAAGCCAATAGTTCTTGGAAGGGTAGCATGTCTCCTAGAGCCCTGTTGTATCGGGAGGGGGGAGGGCAGAAGGGTCAGGGGAGGGGAGATTCAAAGAAGAATTAAGATGTGGGTTTATATAAACATTTAAAGCACTTAGCAAAAGCTTTCTCGTTGAACAGCTTTAAGAACAATGTGAATGAAACCTTAGCAACTTGGATAGTAATCTGAAAAGTCTATTAATGTATACTTGAAATTCTGTTTGTATAAAAATGCATTTCCTCTTTATTTTGACACTGTGTATAAGAACATTATGCATGTGAGTGGTTTGAGAAATAAAAGGTTTAATACTCATATTTGAATCTCTGTCTTTTCCATATAGAGATTAATTACTTTGTACTCTTGGGACTTTGTAGCATGGTAGGAATACTGAGAATTTAAAGGTCCTCCAGTCCTCCAAGATGAAATGGTAACATATTTATCTCTTTTATTTTTATGGTTTTCTGTGTTTTAGGGAGAGGAAGTCATCTTGAGACAGGGTGTCTCACATGCAGCCCAGCCTCAACTAGCCTCAACTCCTGATCCTTTGCTTCTGTTCTCCAAAGTGCTAGGTGTGTGCCACCATGCTGGCCTCTTCCCCTTTATTTACCCAGAAGTTGTTGCCCACAGCATCCTATCTGTGCATCAGTGTCTTGTCTTCATTTCAAGTGGAAAAGTCCATTCTTGTGAGGTGGCAGCTGTATTTATTTTTACTTCTATTCACAAACACCAAAACAGGAAAAGGTGCAAAGATTAAGAAAGGCTATTTTAGTTCATACAAGGATTAGCCACTCTCCCCATGAATATAATAGTGTTCAGAGCAACTTCCCTTATAAGTACCAGGAAGGGCCGGTTGGCCTTGAAGGTTACCCTATTGGGGTTCAGTGAGCGGCCAGCAATCATGACGGCAGTGCTGGCTGCTGCTTCACTCCCTTCCTCATTCACCTGCAGGTCACACAGGAAAGAAATGTTAGCCACCCTTCAGTCCATCATAGATGTGTGTGTCACACACAGACCCTGGGGCTCCTCACACTGCTAACACACAAAGTAGACACAAACAGACCCTGCCAGAAACCTGCTCATCCTAAGGCTTGCAAGAGTTCCTCCCAAAAGTGTAATTCCCGAACTAGAAGCCACATTCTGGTAGCATAGCTGAACACTATTAGAGAGCATTGTTTTGAACCAGCTGCTAAGAGAAATTCAGGATCAAGATCAGAGATCTGTAATGGAAATAAATAGATTCACTCTTGAAAAAAAAAAAAAAATCCCAGGTATAACTACCCAACAGCTACGCAGAACCTGTGGCTTATGAAAAGACAGTCCTCCAGCTGGATGACATGGTTTTCTTGGAGTAGTACCTGAGAAAACGATATTTGAATGACATCTGAAGGGTTGCCTTCAGAAAATGTCTGACAATTGCTAACATCACTGTGATAGGATCTTGCTGTGTTCTCTGGGAGCCGAGGCTAGCCTGTCATTCAAGATTCTCCTGTGTCAGCCACCTACTCTGGTTTCTTTTAAACAGTCTCACTGTGTACTCTTGCTTGCTTTTAGCTTTCTTTATAGACCAGGCTGACCTAGAACTTGTGGCAATCCTCCTGCCTTTGCCTCCTCTCCTTGACTCTTAAGCACATGTGATCTCTGTGCTTTGTGGGGTTAGTTAATGGTTTTTCCCCTTTCCCTTCGTTGTCCCACATCTATTTCTTTCTCATCTTAGACTAAATTTTTGAGTGGTGTGAAGGTAAGATCCAGCCATCTCAGAGCTCCTACCCCTCATCCTGAGCTTGGATCCTACAATTAGTTCTCTGATGTCATACTCTGAACCTTTCTGATTGCAATCTTAAGTCCTGTAAACTTTGTCTAACGTTGGCCTTCCACTCAGCCTTAGCCTTCAGGAAGAACAGCCTACACCATTTTGGGCCTCAAACCTGATTTTATATGAGATCCCTTGCAGATCTGTGCAAGGCAGCAGATCCTCAGGCCCCACCCCTGGGTCTCCAAGAATAAAGATCAATACCGAATGCTATGGAGCCACACACCTCAGTATCTGAGACCAGAACAACAAGCTGCCACGCCCTACTCTAACACACAGTTCTGTGCTCACATCAGGTGGGGGAAGACTAGCTGAGCAATATCCACTGTTTCCCTCACTGGGACAGCTCAGATCTCAGCACGCCATTGTGTGTAGTTAGTTAATCTCTGAAGATCCGCGTGTGCCTGCCTAATTAGGCTTCCTGAAATGCTGTATTATCTCAGTAATTCTCCTAGAATACCATTAGTAGCCCTTTCTTATGTTCAGTTGCTCTTCACCCACTTAAGCACATGCCCCTCCCTATTCTGTCCACATTAGATTTCAGTCTTTTACCCCATACTTCCCATATTGCTGAAACATCTAGGAATTCCCTCCCTGTGGCCTTTCCTGGCTTCTTTCCCTTGGGCTACCCTCTAACTCTTATTTCTCTGGCAGAGGAGGATATCATCCTGAGGCAGAATTTTCAAGCTTCTCCATGTGTGCATGATTGAAGGAATACTGCAAACTCACCCCTCCTCAGCTCTGTCCTGCTGCTAACAAACCTGCTGTCTCTACCATAACAGCATAGCAGGAAACTCCAAACACTAGTGCAGCTTGATAAAATACAGAAAAGACAGGGTGGAGGAGGATGGACTCACCTCAAGAAATGCTTTGTGGAATGCATCAGAGACATAGAGGTCATTCCTGCCTTCTGCAACGATCCCTGGAAAGAAGAACAGAGAAGGGAGTGCTGTGATTTGGCTTCAGGTCACACAGGAGATCAGTCTGAATGAAGACACCCTTCTGGATGGTTTGAGAAAAAGAAGGCTGACCCTCCCCTAGTAATAAACCCCACCCTTTCCATGGATACCTCTTAAAAGCAGGGAGGTATTTGGGCTTCTTTGGCCTGGGTCTTGTGAATTTAATCTTATGTTAGCTTCTTGGGGGACAGTGGAGGGGTGAGACTCTGTTCTTAAGGAAAAACCTATGTCTAATAAAAAACTTTTTCCAGTTTGGTAACATCTTTGAGAGGTTTGACTTTCAAAGCTAATTTAAAGGTAGCACAGTAAAGACTGGATTCAAAGTCTTTTTTAGAATCTCTTCGTGCAGTCTGGGCTGGTCTTAAACTGTCACCCTGCCACAGCCTTGATTGCTGAGATTATAGTTGGGTGCCCCCATGCCCAGCTCGGGGCTTCTTTTAGACAGAGATGTGCTGGGGCCAGTGAGATTGTTCATCAGGTATGGTCACTTGCCACCGACCCTGACAACCTGAGTTTAATTCCTGGGTTCCACATGACTTTGAACTCTTTGAAAGTTCTCTGGCACTTGTGTACCCCCTACACATACCATACATAACAACAAATAAATATATGGATATGGATACATAAAAGGTATTTCCAGACATGTGGCACACACCTATAGTCCCAGCACTCAGAGTGGAGATAGCACAATCAGTCAAAGCCAGTCTTAGCTGCACAGTGGGTTCCAGGCTAACCTGGGCTACATATGGCCCAGTCTCAACCAAAACCAGAAAAAATGAAAAGGTAAAGGTGTTCTATAGTAAATATGATTTACTCTCATATTTCATTATTATTTTATTCAAGAATTATTTTTTCTTTATTTTATTTTTTTTTTTTTAGTTTATTTTTTGCTGAGGCAGGGTTTCTCTGTAGCTTTGAGCTTATACTGGAACATTCTGTAGACCATGCTGGCCTTGAATTTACAGAGATTCACTTGCCTCTGCCTCCTGAGTGCTGGGTTTAAAGCTTGCACCACCACCACCAGCTTATTTGTGTTACATGTGTACATGAGTGCTGACACCTATAGAGTCAGATTCCCTGGAGCTGGAGTAACAGGAGGTTGAGAGATGTCTGCCTTGAATTCTGGAAACTGATCCTGGGTCTTCTGCAATAATGACCCATGCTCTTTAATTGCTAAGCTATCTCTCTAGCTCCTATTTTATTTTACTTTTCAGACAAGGTCTCGTTAAATAGGCCAAGCTGGCCTACAATGCTATCTTCTGCCCTACCTCCCAAGTGCTGGAATTATAAGCATGTCCCAGCATGCCTTGAGTTTAATGCCTGTCTCTTTGAATTTCAATGTTTTTTCAAATCCTTTCCCACCGGTTTCATCTCCTCTATGAGATAAAGATTCATAGGATGACAGTACTGGCTGGACTTCTGGAAAGAAAGAGCAAGCACCCTCTTCTACAAGGGGGCTGGGAAGGGCAAGGCACCGATCGACACAGTTTATCACAGAGCCGGGATCAGAATCCAGATATCCTGTGTGTTCCTCTGCTGTCCCACATTTGGTCCAACCTTTACCTTGGAGTGGAGAGGGGGCAGGTCTCTCCTGTACCAACCTGGGAGTTGGGCCTTATCAGGGTTGAACAGATCAACAAGGCCCATGTCTTGCAGCTGCTCCTTCAAACTGAAGCTGTCCTCAGAGCGGAAACGGGGCATATGAACCACAAGCATCATCTCAGTCAGCTCATCTAGCCACTCCTGCAGCAGCTCTGGGGTGAGTTCCTGCTCCACCTTGGCCAGGCTCTTCTCAGGCTTGGGTAGGATGAGCACCATGGTGATGTCGTCCCCCTTGAAGGGCAGCTCCAGCACCTGGGTGCCTTCTGCCACACGTTTGTATTTGAATTTTCCTTCCTGGTACATCATAGACACTGGGCATGTCTGCCCATCAACCTTGTAGAACAGCTCCTTCCTTGTGTTCTCGGGGCTGAACTTTGACTTCCACAGGCCCTGAAAAATGTCAGATTGGAGAATCAAAAGGCAAAAATGAAAATATCCTAGCAGAATATTAACTATTATGGGATATAATCTGATTATATCAACATATAAATGTGTTACTAGAAAAACTAGATGTGCTAAGCAATAGTAGAGAGGCTACCTTTAATGCCCTTCCACGATATTGAGATTGATGACTACTTTACATGCCATCCTAGAGCCTTCATCTAGTAGCTGATGGAAGAAGAAGCAGACACCCACAGCTCACTGAGCCAAACTCCTGGAATCCAGTTGCAGAGAGGGAGGAGTGATGAGCAAAGGGGTCAAGACCAGGCTGGAGAAACCCACAGAGACAGCTGACTTGAACAAGGGGGAGCTCATATATCCAAGTCTGATAGCTGGGAAACCAGCATAGGACTGACCCAGACCCCCTGAATGTGAATGTTAGTTAGGAGGACTGGGCAAGTCTATGTAGTAATAGATCTAGTAATAGATCTCTAGTAATAGATCAGTATTTACCCTTAGTATACAAATGGATTTTGGGAGCCCATCCCACATAGAGGAATACTCTCTCAGCCTAGACACATGGCTGACCCAAATGATATGACAGACTTTGAAGACTCCCTGTGGAAGTCCTCATCCTCCCTGGGGAGCAGAAAGGAGATGGGCTGGGGCTTGGTGGGACAGTAGAGGATGGGAGGGTGAGGGAACTGGGATTGACATGTAAAACAACCTTGTTTGAAATTTTAAAAAAGGGAAAAAAAGAAAAAGAAAAACTAGCTATGTTAAAAGGCTAATAATTATGCCTGTGTGGTACAATTACTTCTGTGTGTTTCATTTTGTTTTTTTCTATATTTGTCAGATTTCCAGCAATATTATTATTATTTTACATTTGAGAGCAGGCGTGCGTGTGCCATTGTGAGTGTGTGAACATCCAAGGACAACTTATCAACATGTAGGAAATGATTCTTTCCTCCTACCATGTAGGTTACCAGACATAATGACAAGCACCTATACTATTGATTTCTTTTTTTTTTTTTTAAGCAGAAAAGTCCAAATCCAAGAATAACCTACAGTCTTCTTTGCAAGTTCATTCTGTCTTGTATTGTTTGCTGTCCACCACCTCTTTCCCAGTGACAACCTCCAGAGCTCTTTGCTTTGTCCCTGATTAATCAGAGGCCAGACTCAGATAGCAGTCCCAGGAATTTGTCTGGAAATCCTGCCAGGCAGAGGATACATCCTGCACCATCCCTTATCATTTTCTGGCTCTTGGCTCTTTAGATAAGTCATTTAATTCTATTGAGTGGTGTGGTTTCTCAGCAGCAAGTCAGGCATTGGAAAGAGCCAGTGACTTTAGAATGTTAACTGTATACTCTAAGGATGTACAAATTCTCACTAAGCATTTCACATGTGTTCACCCACTCTGCCTCTTTGCTAATCCTATAAAGCAGGTGGATCCTCATTACCATTTTATAGAAACCAGGCCATAGCAAGGTCCCAATAACTCCCCAGTAATTCACAAGAATTCATACACTTACAAACAAGGAGTCAAGATTTACAACAAAGAAATCATACTGCATAAGAGACCCAAGGTCTCCCTTGCAGTGTATGACGATCAAACTGTAAAGGGCAACATGCTGTAGAAATGCTGCCTGCTGTTCTGGAGGAGAAGGAATCCCTAAGAGTGATTGACACGCTAAGTGACTGGCTAAGTCGCTGGGCCACAGGGAAAAAGGAAGAATGCAAACAACACATGTCTAAGTCAGGATGAAGAAATATGTGCCACAATTCCAGCTGCTCTGTGGTGACAGTCCTCCAGAGCATTCATGGTGTTTGTTCCCACTGTCCTCTCCCACTCCTTCTCAAATGTAATAATTATTGGAGCAGTCCTTAGAGCCTGAACTCTGAGAACAAGCCTTGCATGGTCACTTCACAGGCCCCTTCTCAGTCTGAAGTGAGCCAAGCACCCAGAGCTTCAGAATCCCAAGAAGCAATATATGACAGAAGTTGCTCTAGGCAGTGTAGAAACCCATCAATAAAATCATTTTGTTTCAGTCAGGCGGTGGTGGCACACACCTTTAATCCCAGCAGAGGCAAAGGCAAGTGGATCTCTGGGCCAGCCTGGTCTACTTAGCAAGTTCCAGGACAGCCAGAGCTACATAATACTCTGTCTCAAAATTAAAACAGAAAAGGGAAAATAAAACATTAATTGAATTGCAGAAATTGTCACACAAGTGCAAAAGCTTATCATCATTCATACCTGGTGGAAGGATGATTGGTTGTAAGTTCACATGCTCCATTCCAGCCTGGGGACATTACTAAGACCCTGGGCCTCTGGACTCTTGGAAAATGTATATGGTTACCTAGACCATGCATGGACTATTTCTCAGGAGGAATCTGACTACATATGCCCAAAGATATGGAAGAAGGGGAGCTTAACAGTGAGAGGTGTCCCTGGGGTCTCTTCAGGACCAATTGAGTACCTTGAAGTAAATGGTGTTAACTAGCACCAGGGCTGTGAGATCGTTGATGGCTCCTTGGGGGATGACATCTTTGATGCGGCCTTCAGTCTTATTAGCTACCCAGTTGTTGATGGTCATTCTGGATGATTCTGCATTTTCCTAAAAATAAAAAAAACAAACAAACAAACAAACAAAAAAAAAAAAAAAAACCCAGGAAATAACCTGAGTGCCTGTGCAACTCAGTCAGCTTTGAATTTCAGGTCCCCCTGCAGAATGTATTTTGTTCATCATTTCTTTGCTCTTTTCCAGTGTCTGGTTAAGAAGCCATCACTTTAACCCACACTGAGGAGGTCTCACACATCTGATACACTGTCACTGATGTTTTCACATAGTTAAAGTTTTGTGGAGCCAAACTGAGGGATCAACCCACTAGTAAATGTTATAGGAAGAAAAAGAAAGAGGACTACAGTCTGAAGGACAGAAGGGGCAGTGTTATCTACCCTCATTCTGGAAAAGCTAAACTCACAGAAACGTTTTCCAAACATGGTCTATGGGAAGTAATGAGTGATGACACAGGTAAGAGGACAGGAAGGCCAGTGCCCCGTGGTCAAGTAAATTTAGAGAATGCTAACTGGCCAGTATTGGCACACGCCTTTAATACCAGCACTCAGGAGGCAGAGGCAGGCAGATCTCTGTGAGTTTGAGGCCAGCCTGGTCTACAGAGTGAGTTCCAGGGCAGCCAGGGCTATACAGTGAAAGAAAATACTGACTGACTAAAGATGAGGTGGTTTGAATGTAAACAGGCCCGCACAGGCTCATACATTTGCATGCTTAGTCCCCAGTTGACTAAGGATGTTTGAAAAGGAGTAGGTATGTCCTGTTGGAGCAGATATGTAACTGGGAATCAGCTTTGAGGTTTCAAAAGCCCATACCAGCCCATGTCTCTCTCTGCCAGCTTGTGGATCAGGCTTGTGCCTGTCTGTCTGTCTGCTGCCATGCTCCCTGCTATGATGAAAATGGACTAACCCCTCTGAAAGTACAGGCAAATCCCAATTAAATGCTTCACTTTTTATTTTTATTTTTTTAAGATTTATTTATTATGTATGCAGTATTCTACATACATGTATCCCTGCAGACCAGAAGAGGGCAGCAGATCTCAATTACAAATGGTTGTGAGCCACCATGGTTGCTGGGAATTGAACTCAGGACCTCTGGAAGAGCAGTCAGTGTTCTTAACCTCTAAGCCATCTCTCCAGCCCCTAAATGCTTTGTTTTATAAAGGTTTCCTTGGTCATGATTTCTCTTCATAGCAAAGGAACACTAAGCCAGAAGTCAAAGTGTTTCTTTGCTATATTACTTCCTCGGAACACTTTATAGGCTTGTGTGCTTCATGAATCTCCAAGGGAACATGTAACACATATCATGAAGTAATTTTATTTGTCCATGACATATTTGAACTTGGCAGATGAAGTGAAAAGGTTATTCCTTATATAACTTTTTCAGAGTAACCTCTATAACAGAAGGCATGAGCACCATCATTCTCTGAAGCCTTAAGGGTTACTGCTCCAAGGCTTTTGATTTGTCCTCAGCCTTCACCAACCATTGGCAATACAGTAGTGTTCATTTGGATCCTGTTTCTCTCCCTTCTCAGTATGAGTGAAGAGGACTCTGACATCCACAACTCACCTTGAAGTCCAGGGGCTGGAGCTTGGCTCCATAGACAACCTCACTAATGTCCTGATAGGTCTCATTGAAGGTAAGGGATTTGTCTCCAAAAAGACGGTTGGCTGCTACCAAGTTGGAGGATTTGTTGGCTTTTCGATAGAGTCGGCAGTTCAGTTTGGCAAAGAAGAAATGGATCTGATCGGATGTTTTCTCTGAGATGGTATCAAATTTAAAAACCTATAGAGGACAAAAGAAAACAGTGGTAGGTGCAATTAGGCAGCCTAGTTATCATGGGTACCAAGTACCACGATGGACCAAAAGCTGTCAAACTACTTGGTTACAGTACAGTGTCTGGTTCAGCATAAACACTCAGCTCATGTTTTGAAAATGACTATACAAGAAAAAGAAAAAGAAAGGGGGGGGGGGGATGTAATGGGGAAAGATCAAGAAACAGGAATGGCACCTGCTGTCTAAGGGACTGTAGCCCCACAAAGGGCGCTTGCTTTCTGACTGTGAAAAGAAAAGTCATCTTAGTAATTCTGGACAGATAATGGAACCAGGATAGTGTGTCTCACTGTAACAAGCATTTCCACCATGTCTACTTGGATCAGCACCTTTTGAGGGCTCTGGAATCCTGTTTGTAGTGGGGCTGAGGAAGGCAAAGATTGTGTCAGCAAGGACACAAATGAACCAGAATCAGAGTCTCCAGGACTCCATACCAGTCAGAGCCACAGAAGCTGTCATAGACCCAAACAACCACCTCCTTCACAGCCATGCAGTGGTGAGGCTGCCCCTCCCCCTCTTATGCTCTGTCGTCAGTGTTCTGGTATGTACTCTGTGCTTGTGTGTGTGCATGGGTATGTACACACATGCATGTAAATGTCAGAGGACAGCCTCCAAATGTTTATGTGGGCAGTGGTGAAAGAATGCCCTCATGTGTGGGTGCCTAAAGAGTCCAGAAGAAGGCACTGGACCTTCTGTAGCAGGAATCACAGGAGCTTATAAACTGCTGGACGTGGGTGCTGGGAATGTATCTTGAGTCCTCTAGAGGAGAAGGGAGTTCTTTTAACCTCTGAGCAGTCTCTCCAGACCCATCTTTCCCCGTTTGTGAGACAGGGTCCCTCCCTGGTATGGAGCTGGGTGATTGGGGTAAGATGGCTGGCTGCAGGGATCCGCCTGTCTCTGTCTCCCCAGTTCTGGAACTACAATCATGTGCACAGTGCCCACCTTTATATACATGGGGCCTAGAGATCAAACTCAGGATTCATGTGTGCAAGGCAAGCACTTTACCCCTCTCCCCAGGTTTCTTTTTTAGCACTCTTGGTTAAAAGCTCTGTGGGTTTCTGAGAGAAGAGTGTGTCACACCTGTTTTTTTATATGTGACATCAAATGTTTGGAAGATCTGAAGAAGCAACTCAGAGGACGTGTTTGGATTAGAAGAGATATTTTTTCTGCTTTTCTTCTTGCTTTTATTTTGCATTGATAGACATTAAGCCAAGAGCTCTTTACATTACTAGTCAAGTGCTCTACTAGTGAGCCACATCTCCAGCTCTTGTTTCTTTTTATAGGCAGGGTCACATTTAAACTCACATTTGGGGACAGAGACAGAATATAAGGAAGTGCTTGAGGCAATGCCAGTGTGTATGAACCTTACTGATAGACTCCAGGGGGCAGCTTCTGTGACAGGAGTTTCTAATGTGCTGTCATTTGCAAGAGCATCAGGAGCACACACACTGTTGTCGACAGGGAGGAAGCAGAGGAGAGCCTCTGAAAGCTAAGCCTTCTGTTGTGGAGTGGAGGTGTGCATTACCTCGTGCCTGAGTCTGAACAAATGGATGAAGTTCAGTGGAAACTGGCCACTTGTCTAGAGGCAAACATTTCTAACTTGCAACACTGACCTTCTCCTATTTATGAATAGTATAAGGCAAGATGGGTCAGCAGGTACAAGCACTTCTTGTCAACCATGACAGCTTGCATCTGACCCCTAGAACCCACAAAAAGCCACCTGAGTGCCTTGCATCTATAATCCCAACACTCGCATAACAGCACTGTGGAGAGTAGAGACAGGAGCATCGCCTGAAGCTTGCAGGGCAGCTCATCTGGACTATTCAGAGAGAAATGAGACACCCTTCCTCAGCAAGGTAGGAGGAGAGAGCCAGCTGCTGAATGTTGTCCTCGGACCTCCACACACACATGCCACAATACATGTGTACCCCTTCAAATAAGTAAAATAATTTGTAAATAGGAGAGACCAGGAAACATTTATAATGAAGACTAATTAAAGAAAAACAATTAGCCACATGGTAGCTAATACGTATAATTCTGCTGCTATTCATGAGGCTGAGGCCAGGTGATCATCACAAATTCAAGGCCAGCCCAGAACTGTTTATAGTAAGTATGGGGTCAACCTGGGCTACATAGTAAAAAACCTTACTCAAAAACCTAAAAGCCTGTCGGTGGTGGTGCATGCCTTTTATCCCAGCACTAGGGAGACAGAGGTAGGCAGATCTCTGCGAGTTCAAGGCCAGCCTGGTCTACAGAGCAAGTTCCAATACAGCCAGAACTGTTACACAGAGAAACCCTGTCTCAAAATAAATAAATAAATAAATAAATAAATAAATAAAACAAAAATCCCAAAACCTAAGTGATAGGAGATGCGATACTGTAAATATGTTTCTCATACTGGTTAATGAATAAAGCACTGTTGGCCAATAGGAAAGCAAGATAGGTGGGACTAGGAGACAAGGAGGAAAGAGGAAGGAGGAGTCAAGATGGAGAGGCTGGAGAAAGCAGAATGCCGGCCGGCTCCCCAGTAAGAGAAGACCACATGAAAATACATAGATCAGCAGAAATGGGTTAATACTTAAGACAGAGCTAGCCGATAAGAAACTAGTACCTGGCCAACAGCATTATATCAAATACAGAGTCTCTGTGCGTTATTTGGGGCTGGTGCAGCGGCGGGACCAGACCAGTGGTGGAGGAAAAACCTTACTCATTACACCTAAGAGTCATTTTGAAAAATAGTCCTGGGCTAGAGAGACTGCTCAGCAGTTAAGAATACTGGCTGCTCTTCCAAAGGACCTGGGTTCAATTCTCAGCACAATGGCAGCTCACAACTGTCTCTATGTAACTCTAGTTCCAGGGGATCTAACAGACACACATACAGGCAAGGAAATGCATATAAAATAGAAAATAAGTCATTAAAAAAGAAAAGCAATCCCAATACATGAAATAGTGATTCAGAGAGAATTATAACCCACAGTGAGGTCACCTACACAATCTAATGTGTTGGTTTAGGTATCATTAGACATAAAGAAGTCCAAGAGATGTACCCCAGCACAGAAAGAGGCAGAGGTAGAGTGCACACTGTACCTCCATCAGCTGCTTGAGAGTGTCATTACAGGCACCCAGCTTGGTCATAGCAAAAGCCGTGGAGATGCTCAAGGGTGACAAGAAAATGTTGTCATTGTCATTCTTGGAGTCTGCCAGGTGCTGATAGAAGGTGGTGGCAAATCGAGAATTAGCTTTCGACAGTTCCCAGACCCGACGGTTGGTGGCCTCCGGGACCTTCTGCTCTAGGCCGTCTTCATCAGTGGCCTTCTTGGTTGGAGAGCGGTAAATGCACATGGGATTCACAGGGATATCCCGGGGCTTTGCTATGCAGATGTCATCCACAGGGTTTCCATGGCAGATCACACAGCCCCAGGCACCAATGAGTAGCAATGAGAGGAGACATACCTTCCTACAAGGGGACAGAACAGTGACTACCTATTCCCATTGGCCACCACAGTCTTATCCCTGAGAAGCATAGTATTGTGGCCTTCTTTGCATTTGAGTTAAGCATCACTGTCCAAGAGAAGAACTGTCCTAGGCTCCTTGCCTGGGCACAGTTATATACTAGAGGTATGCGTGTGTCCATACTCAGAGAAGGATGATGCAGTTTCCTTGTATAAGTGGAACATGTGCCCTCTGGGGAGTCAGAGGGCAAAGGGAGCCCCCAGACATGGATGGAACATAGCCCAAATCTTAAAGGCCAGGAAGACTTTGACCAATAGGGTGAGAGAGTGAATGCAGCCAAGGCAGCATCTGGGATGATGATTCCCAGATCCATAGCTCCAGCCTGAACTCTGACCTCCAGACAGTGCTGCCTGGAAGGCCTGCCACTTCCATAGTGAGATGTGACCTGCTGAACTGTTCTTGTTCTCACCATATACCTGCTCCTCCATCCTTCAACCCATGGATCCTGACACCAGGTCAGAAACCTGAAAGTCACCCTGGATCCCTCCCCTCCTCGTTTAGTCTGACCCTAGATTCAGTTAAGGCCACTCTTCCTTACTCTCCGACCTTACTGCCTCTGCCTTAGTTCTGCCCTCATTCTTTTCTGTCCCCTGAATTTTTTCATAGCTACTAACAGGGGTCACTAAAAGTAAAGATAATCTCACTTTGATGGTGCTAGGGATTTGGATAGGCTCTCAGTAGCTAGATTGCCTCATCCTCACTATGTAGCTAAGGATGACCTTGAAATTCTGGTTTTCCTGCCTCTGGATCCCAAATGCTAGGATTGTAGGCATGTGCCACCGTGGCCAGCTTGATACCTTTCTAAAAAAATGAAATAGTAGCCAGGTGTGGTAGGGTATATACCCTCAATCTCAACATTTGGGTGGCTGAGGTGGGAGGGTCAGGAGTACAAGGGCAGCCTGGGCTACATAATACCTCAATTTAAAAAAATGTAGTGAGATTGGCAAGAGAATTTGGACACTCAATAAGGTAAACCAAGAAATAAATTCTCCAGAATATGTCTGTAGCTAAGACAGTATGGGCCAGGCTACTGAGTCTCGAGAAGGGAGTCTGTACCTGGGCACTGGGTCTTTCCAGTCCCCTTCAAGAAGAAAAAGTCAGGCAGAGTGCAGAAAAGACTTGTCGAGGTAGTGTGCTTGGTGGGAGAAGGGCTGACGAAGCTGAAGGCAGGCAAAGGGTACCTGGAGTTTTGTGTGGTCTGAAACCAATTCTACAGTTGGAGAAATGGAGACAAAAGGGAAAGAAGGAACGTAGGGTGACGAGGGAGGAGGGGTGAGGGAAGGAAGAGAGAACTATTACCCCCATCTCCATTGCCTTGTGTTTCATTTTGTTCTTCAGGGCATTTGGAAATGTGAGTGGAAGGTGGAGGGGCCATGGAATTCTGTTGGCATAAATAGAAACCACAGTGGTCAGGCTGCCCTCACTCCTAGCTTCCTTCAACACTTAAATCAAGAAGGGTGTGGTATCCAGGAGGGAATCCCTCTGTGAAAAGGGACAGGGCTTTAGGAGTTGGTCAGAGGTCCCTGAGACAGGGGGCAACTGAGTAGGAGAGGAGCATAAAACAAATTAGATGGCTGCCCAGCCATGCTCTCTAGATTGCCCATCTCTTCCCATGGAGGAAGTGACATCTTCAAAATAGGTCTTTGATTTAACTACCAGGGAGAGGGCCCAGTCTTCTCAAAAGTGTCAGAGGTCATCCTGTGAGTCCTTCAGAGGCCAGAAAACTCAGCAAGAGCTGGGAGAGGGAAAGCCCATCCCTTACCTCATTCCAGCAGCCGCACTTCCTGTCCCATTGGAATCCATGGCTGTTGCGCTTCTACAGAGACAGCAAGTGGAGATGGTGCTGTCTCAGACAGTCACTCTGAAAGCTGCTTCTTTCTCCTAAATCTGACAGAGGTCCAGAGGCCAGGTGGGGGAGGGGAGGGAGCTGGTCAGGAGAGGAGGGCTGAGGTCAAAGGCTGATGACCAGTTCCTAGGGTTAAGCAAAGTATAGAACTCAGTTTTGTTTAATTAGTAGAAAAGTTAAAGTTCAGTCAGGCCTAGGGAAAGTGTGACCCCCTCTCTTGCCCACAGCCCTTCGTGCTCCTGTCACATTTCTGAGGGAAAAGGGAGAACGTGGAGAATTCAAAACTGGGTAGGAGGTACCTGACTCAGGAGGGTCTGTGGGGGGGGGGAATCTAATTAATCAAATCAGGAGATCGCAGAAGTAGAGGGATACAAGTGGTAACAACTGCATTTATTGCTCCCTGCCTCACATGAGCTGGTTTCACATTTGTTATGAAGCTAAAGTTGACCTTGTCTTCCTGTCTATCTTCCAAGTGCTGGGATTATAGGTGTGAGCCTCCGAAACTTTTTTCCTTTATTGTGAGCAAGGGCAGCATCTATTGAAATATTTCTGTCTTTTTTAATCACAACAGTTTATTTAGCAAAAAAATTTCATATGAAAATGTACATGACCAAATTCTAGACCACAGTCAACAGGCCCTCTGGGGAGGGATGTGGACTCCTCTGCTGAAAGCTTTTGTTTAGGTTCTTTCCAAGCCTTCTAACATGATTATGCTGTTCCCTCATATGATCACCATGTCGGTGTTATTCTGTTATTCTGTCACCCCTAGTTGCCATCTCCACACACTTATTCAATCACAAGATTCATAAAGGGCCAAGCAATGGTAGCACATGCCTTTAATCCCAGCATTCGGGAGGCAGAGGCCGGCCTAGTCTACAGAATGAGTTACAGGCCAGCCAGATCTATTAGATAGAGAAACCTTGTCTTGGAAGATCCATAGAGAGATCAAAGCCCCATAGTATTCCTTGTACATGTCTGCCACCATTTAACTTCAACAATAAGATCTTGTTCATCAATTTCTTCAGTTCAGGATTGGGGGAGTTGGCTCCTGATGACTCCTCAGAAGAATCCTCACAACTCAGAAAATATTTATGTTTGATGTTTGTTTTGTTTTGTTTATCGAGACAGGGTTTCTCTGTGTAGCTCTGGCTTTCTGAAACTCACTCTGTAGACCAGGCTGGCCTCAAACTCAGAGATTCACTTGCCTCTGCCTCCCAAGTGCTCTGCCCACACAATTGCCCGACTTCAAAATATTTCTTAAAGCTTTTCTGCTTTCGGCTTGGAGGAGGCAACGGTGCAACTTTCTTCAGTCGTCCCGAATCCGGGTTCATCCGACACCAGCCGCCTCCGCCATGCCGCCCAAGTTCGACCCCAACAAGATCAAAGTCGTATACTTGAGGTGCACCAGAGGTGAGGTCGGCGCCACATCCGCCTTGGCCCCCAAGATCGGTCCTCTGGGTCTGTCTCCAAAAGAAGTTGGTGATGACATCGCCAAGGCAACGGGTGACTGGAAAGGTCTGAGGATTACAGTGAAACTGACCATCCAGAACAGACAGGCCCAGATTGAGGTGGTGCCCTCTGCCTCTGCCCTCATCATTAAAGCCCTCAAGGAGCCACCAAGAGACAGAAAGAAGCAAAAGAACATTAAACACAAAAATATCACTTTTGATGAGATTGTCAGCATTTCCCGCCAGATGAGACACCGGTCTTTAGCCAGAGAACTTTCAGGAACTATTAAAGAGATCCTGGGTACTGCACAGTCTGTGGGCTGCAATGTGGACGGCTGCCACCCTCATGACATCATTGATGACATCAACAGTGGTGTGGTGGAATACCCAGCTAGTTAAGAAGCAACAAGAGAAAATATTTCAATAAAAGACATCTGATAAAAAAAAATATTTCTTAAAGATTAAACAAGCCAAGTTCTGTCTGTGTGTATTATTACTAATTTCTTTTAGTAGATTTGGAGATAAAGGGCTATTTAGCTCTGTTTTCCTCTTCTAAATAGCCCAAAATCACCAGGATGGCAGTTACTGTGTTCAGCGTTCTGTGATGTGAAGACTTGAACTGTAGGGAATGCTTTACTCTCTGGATAGGAAAGCATGAGGACCATAACAAGTTCTTGCCTGGTGGAGCAGGATACTTCAAGGACAGATGCTAGAGTTCTTTGCTCAAAGGCCACCATCACCCTTGACTAAAGATAACTGGAAAGTCTCCTGTTTGGCAAATAGAGAGGCATGACCTAGCCCAAGCATGTGCTAGAAACTGTGTGAGGTTCTACTCAAAGTCAGGGAGTAGTCATGAACAGAACCAATATACACAAAATGGGTATCGGGCCAGCAAGATGGCTCAGTGTGTAATGGCACCTGCTACCAACCCAATGACCTGCATTTGGTCCCTGGGATTCACATGGGGGAAGAAGAGAACTGACTCCCACAAATGTTCTTTGCCCTCCATATGCACTATGGCATGCTTGTAAGAATGCACACACAACAAATAAATCTATAACTATTGTGACGCGCTATTAGTGTGTGTATGATATACGTATAGGTACACATGTGCAGTAGCAGGTGTGGAGGTCAGAGGACAGCTCTGTGGACTTGGTTCTCTCTCCACCTCCATGTGGTTACTGGGGACTAAGCTCAGTCCCCGGACTTTCTCCATGAGCCGACTCCCTTAAAGTCCAGCTCTTTGTCCATCATGGGTGGTGTTTTTGAAGTGTGTAAGCCAATTAATTTTGAAGAAAATCTCAGTGTGCAGTAGGTATCCTCATAATTGGTTTCCCATGATCCTCTTGGTGACAGGAATGAACTGTGCCCTGAGCCAGTCAATTTAGGAGGCACAGTCTTCCCAAGCTGCTGCTGCTGATCTTCATTGTTTGCCTGAGACAGCTGTCGGGCACATTTCTCTGCTGTAAAATTAGTTCTCCCCTTTTTGTTAAATAGCATTTGGAGGCTTATAAATAGTATACAAAGCAACATTTTAGATTATCTACATATAATATTAGTATTGTTTTAGTCATCAGATTTTCACCTATTAAGCAACTTTCAACAGTATTTTGGAATGGCATTTTAAGCACTATTTCTCCTCTGTTATTTCTATCATCCTGGCTAGGCGTTGGTGGTGCTCACCTTTAACCCTAGCACTTGGGAGGCCGAGGCAGGAAAATCTCTATGAGTTCTAGGCTAGCCTGGTCTACAAAGTTAGTTCCAGGATAGGCTCCAAAGCTACACTGAGAAACCCTGTCTCAAAAAAACAAAACTCTAAAGATAGCCTTTTTATTCCAGTGTGTGATATGTGGGCAGCTGTGTGTATACTATGGCACATGTATGGTCAGAGGACAGCTTTTAGAGAGATGATTCTCCCCTTCTATCTTGTCGTTTTTACCACGATGCATATTCCAGGCTGTTTGCCCGTGAACTTTTAGGCAACTCTGTCCCTGCCTCCTATCTCACCATTGGAGTACTGGGGTTTCAAGTGTGTGCCACTGCAGTTGGCTTTTTATGAAGTTCCAGGAATGGACTTCAGGTTAGTTGTGCATGGCAAGTACTCTTACCTACTGGACCATCTTGCTGGCTTCTCAAATATTTGTATTAACTAAAAATTGGGGGGGGAGGATTCCCCACCAACTTTCTCCATTCTGAGTAGTTTGGCAAGCATGCATGGGTCATCCAGTTCTTTGTTGTTAGGGTTTGACTTGACAATACATTGAAAGAAAAGAATATCACATTTGGTTCCCCTCTCATTTTTCTGACCTCCTTCGGGTCAGTGGTTCCTGTCTCCACCAGTCTCCAATGTGAGTAGTAACTCCTATAGGAAGGTAATTTATGTGGCCTTCGCCTGTTTCGTCATATCCTGGGCTATGTGTTCTTGTCTTTGGCCCCCACAGTAAGACCTTGGCAGGGAGCAAACAGTAGCTTGGATTCTCCTGTGGTTACTGAGTAACTCAAGGCTTGGCCTCTCCATGCAGCTTTGGCACAACACATAGAACAAAGAAAGGGCATCTCCAGCTCCTCTGTATTTCCAAAAAAGATTTTAGGGTAATAGCATTTTAGGACAGTAACTAAGGTAGGATGAAGCTTATCAAAAGACAAACCATACATCACCACATTGGCTGCTTTTTACAGAGTCTTGAAGCATCTGACTGGAATTTGCCCGAATCCTCAGAACAGTTAGAAAGTTCAGTTTGGGTTTCAGGGAAATCAAACCAAACAGCAAATATTTATCGAACTCTTCCAGTGCACACAGCTGTGAGTGTTAAATGTTCTAGGATTCAATAAACACATTTTAAGAGGTGCAAGTACCAAAGGGTTTTGCTAAATTATCAGATAGACTTCCTTCCTTAATGGAAAGATTATCAAGACTTTTTTTTTTTTTTTTTTTTTGAGGCATTACCATTTCTTAACAGAAATACTAAGCAAGGTTGGGAAGTTACACAAGAGACAGCTGCACGGGGTCAAAGCTCATTGCATGAACATCAGTTGAGAAGCTCTAGGTGGTAAGAGAAAACCACAGGGAAGAGGAAAAGCAGAGCACAAAGACAGTGGGAGTGGAAGAAAGTCCCCAGAGTCACTGAGGAGATTTAGTTGCCCTGGAAGCAGCAGGAAGAAACATGGTAAAGCTGGGGCAAATGTGTGTGCTGATGACTGTAGACTCTTAGGCACATCTTCCAAGCCTTATTCTAGAAAATCTCACCACATTCATTTAAGGGACAAGGAGGACCTGAGGCCCAGGGCTATAGATGGCTCAGCAGTTAAGACCACTGACTGTTCCTCCAAAGGCCCCAGGTTCAATTCCCAGCACCCACAAGGCAGCTCATAGCTGTCTAACTCCACTTCCAGAGGATCTGAAGTTGCCTTTTGCATGTATATGGTCCAGACACAAATGTATCAAACAAACAAACAAACAAACAAAAAGCCAAAAACTCATACAGCTTAAAAAAGGAGAGAGGTCCTCCCACTGTGGGGAAGCAGACATGCCTTGAGTCTAGATATATCCTAACCATCTAGGGAGTGAAAGGCTAGACATATGACAGGCATGTGTAGAGACAAAGGGGTACAAGAAGGGGCACCCTTAGGTTTTAACTGGACCTGGGAGGTTTCCGAGT